AAGAATTTCATTGCACAGAGGAAACTTGCTTTCTTTTGTTGCATATGACAATAAACATCTTGAACTTGGCAGGAGGGGGAGGCAGTAGGGTGGAGCCATGAGGGGAAAGCAGGAGGGGGAGGCAGGTTCCTTGCATAATTTGCCCGGCACTGCCTGGTTCAGCCTGTCTCTGTTTATGTTATGTGCCAGACTGCTGTAGCTCACCCCCTCCTGCTCCAATTATATCATTACTGTTAACATGTTTGACTGCCCAAACTTCATCCAGAGAAGCAGTTCTTCAAGAACATGAAGAGGCTTCATGTGGTTAATAAGTCATTAAATAACAGTCATGGAGATTAACAATTAAGTTTTGACTTGTTTTGTAATGCAACTGCTTGTTGAGTCAGTTAACACAGTGTTTCCCAACCAGGGGGTCTGGATCACCTCTAGGGTAGTCAAAGCTTCACACGGGGGTTGAGAGGCTTTCTTGTAATTTGGTGTATTTTTAAAGTTTAGATTATTATTCAAGATCTAAACTTTGAAGATAGCATCAGCGAGAAGACAACATTACATTTGTCAAAAAAGAAGCATATTAAGTGTGTAGGATTGTTAATTCATACACACAATTTTATAGAACGTTGAGACCTGAGTTTGTCAAAATGTGTGGCCTCACCAGGCTAGTAAAGGAGACCCTGCTTTCAATTTAGGTTTTAAAATATTTCCCAAAATGTCAAACATCTTAACCTTGAAATGATCTGTCAGTAAATCAAAACAAAAACATTTTTCACACCCTGATAACCCACAATTATTAAAGGTGTTATAGCTGATCCATATATCACTAGTAAATGACATATTATAAGGTGGTTTATTAGAACGTTTTCTGTTCCAGTAGTGTGACTCTGCTGCTCTTTTCCTGACACCCTGTGCGATTAAAATATCTGGCCCTGTGATAAGGAGTCCTGTCTTCCTGCTGTGACTACAGAGTGGAAAGTGAGGGGGAGGGACAGAGTTGAGGTAAAAACAGACTCAGCTCGCCTTCGAGGACTGGGAAGAATAAATAAGTAGAAACTTCTGAATATGTGAAGGACGATGGAAGGAAGCAGAGATTCATGTAATGTGGTAAAATGAAATGGTTATTTAATATTCGAAATTGAAAGTAAGAGCATAAGAAATGGAAAGGAGATAAGGAACTTCTGCTTCCTGACAAATTCCTCTACCAAAACCCGCCCAACAAAGTTGGTCTATTATACTTTGAACTATGCTGTGTGGGTCTAGACTCTCTGTAACCTCTGGCTCAAACAGTTCATTACCAGGCTGCTCGGACCTACTGGAAACATGTCTATCTGTTACATATTTTTGGTTGTTTCTTTAATGAACTTCCTGAACAACTTCCATGTGAACGCAAATGATTGTGGTAAGTATTCCTTATCTGCTGTGGTCGGAAATATCATTTTAATAATTACTTTATAACTTTTATAATTAGTGGTGTGCTTTATATAGACATGCCATCAAATACAGTGTTTGTTTTGTTTTTTATTTTTATGTTTAATGTTCTCAGCACTTGTATTTTATCAGATAGACTGAAATTTGCCAGATATTTTTTAGACTCCATGCTTCAGATTGAATTAACTTCTCCTCTTTTTATATGTTCTTTCGTTTTTGAATGATTTGTTGGCCAAAATGAGTTTTCCTTTCATTATTGTTCAATATGCACTATAGTATAAAGATGAATTGAAATTGGACTAAAAGCATTCACAGTTTTTTTAATCTCTTACCCAATGCTAGCAGCCCACAGTCAATTAATATTTAACATTCAGTGTCTTGAAAAGTTTGAATTGTTGAAACCACTGGAGAGTAGTAGTTTTAAATAAGATAACCTCATTGTATTTATACAGTGATTACAGAAATGGAAAGCAAATATATGATGATGAAACACAATGTAGACGTTTTTTTACAGACCATTTAAGGTTAACATACCACTCCAGTATATTCTAATTAAGAAATTATAAATACATAATGCATAAACAAACACTGTTATAAAATACAGCTTATAGCACTAATATAACTTTTGGTTTCCTGTATGACATTGTGTGTGAGACTTTT